TTAAGAATCCGCCTGCCAATGCAGGGCACATGGGTTCGAGCCCTTGTCCGGGAAGATCCCACATGCCACGGAGCAACTAAGCCCGTGCGGCACAACTACTGAGCCTGTGCTCTAGAGCCCGCGAGCCTCAACTACTGAAACCCAGGCACCTAGAGCCCGTGCTCCGCAACAAGAGAAGCCACCGCAATGAGAAGCCCGCGCACCTCAATGAAGAGTAGCCCCAGCTCACTGCAACTAGAGAAAGCCCGCGTGCAAGACCCAAAGCAGCCAAAAATAAATAAATTTATTTTTAAAAAACCCACTGTGGGCAGAAAAAAATGTTTACTAATTGTTTTTTCCTCATGACAAAAGAATTTATAGTGATTGTAAAACACAAAGTTTAAGCAATACAAAAACATTTGGCATAGTGGAGGGTGCCATGGTCCTACTTGGTAGCAATGCGTGCCATTGTCAATACTTTGGAGAATCTCCTGTCAAACCTTTTTCTTTTCTTTTTTTTTTTTTTTTTAGTGTTTATTTATTTTTACTTGTTGACAGTTTGCTTTATTTATTTATTTATTTATGGCTGTGTTGGGTCTTCGTTTCTGTGTGAGGGCTTTCTCTAGTTGTGGCAAGCGGGGTCCACTCTTCATCACGGTGCACGGGCCTCTCACTATCGCGGGCTCTCTTGTTGCGGAGCACAGGCTCCAGACGCGCAGGCTCAGTAATTGTGGCTCACAGGCCCAGATGCTCCGCGGCATGTGGGATCTTCCCAGACCAGGGCTCGAACCCATGTGCCCTGCATTGGCAGGCAGATTCTCAACCACTGCGCCACCAGGGAAGCCCAAACCTTTTTCTTATAGGTTGAATATTAAAATACTTTGTTTTGCTGTTTTATTTTTTATTGAGGTGGCGTATACCACTTGCATACAAGTCGTGTACAAAAGTGTACAGCTCCATGGCTTTTTGAAAAGTGAACATCTATGAGTCACCAGCTCCAGGAAAGGAAGCGGAGCATCCTCAGCAACGCTCCCCAGCCCCTAGGCCACTCCTCTCTCTCCCCCAAGGATGACTGATGATGGAGGATTGCTCTCCTGATTCTCACTTCCTCTGTTTTTCCTCTGGACTGTTCAACCAGGAGATAACGGGTGCTTTTCAGAGGTTATAGGAAGTCCCAGAAATTTTACACAAAGTTGTATATTTCTAAGTGGAAGGTCCACTGATCTTGTCAGTTTTCCAGAAGGGTCTGTGAGCCAAGAAGGGGCCTTTCGGAAATTAAAAAGAAAAAAATTGTTTGGACGCTCCCTGGTGGTCCAGTGGTTAGGACTCGGTGCTTTCACTGCCATGGCCCGGGTTCCATCCCTGGTCGGGGAACTAAGATCCCACAAGCCACGTGGCGTGGCCAAAATATAAATAAATTAAATTAAATTTAAAAAAATTGTTTCTCACAAGCAATCACCCAGGACCATTTATTTCATCATCTTTGTTACCCTGTTCAGCTCATGCTTAAGACCCCATTCCCCACCCTCCAAACCCAGTGTCTTGCTTTGCTTTTTAAAAATACATGTCTACAAAAAGGAATGAAATTGAGTTATTTGTAATGAGGTGGATGGACCTAGAGTCCGTCATACAGAGCGAAGTAAGAGAGAAAGAGGAAAACAAATACCGTGTGCTAACACACATATATGGAATCTAAAAAACTGGTACTGATGAACCTAGTGGCAGGGGAGGAATAAAGACGCCGACATAGGGAACGGACTTGAGGACACAGTGGGGGAAGGGGAAGCTGGGATGAAGTGAGAGAGTAGCATTGACATATATACACTACCAAATGTAAAATGGATGGCTAGTGGGAAGCAGCTGCATAGCACAGGGAGATCAGCTCAGTGCTTTGTGACCACCTAGAGGGGTGGGATAGGGAGGGTGGGAGGGAGGCTCAAGAGGGAGGGGATATGGGGATATGTGTATACATATAGCTGATTCACTTTGTTGTAGAAACTAATACAAAATTGTAAAGTAATTATACTCCAATAAAGATATTACAGGGACTTCCCTGGTGGCACGGTGGTTAAGAATCCGCCTGCCAATGCAGGGGACATGGGTTTGAGCCCTGGTCCGGGAAGATCCCACATGCCACGGAGCAACTAAGCCCATGCACCACAACTACTGAGCCTGTGCTCTAGAGCCCGTGAGCCACAACTACTAAGCCCGCGAGCCACAACTACTGAAGCCCTCACGCCTAGAGCCCGTGCTCCACAACAAAAGAAGCCACCACAATGAGAAGCCCGCGTACCACAACGAAGAGTAGCCCCCGCTCGCCACAACTAGAGAAAGCCCGAACGCAGCAACGAAGACCAAACACAGCCAAAATTAAATAAATAAAATTTTTTTAAAAAGACATTACAGAAAAAGAATAGAAATTGTGCATGAAAAAAATATATGTCTGAAAAAAATATATGTCTATTTTTGTGGCAAAATATACATAACAAAACATTTACCATCTAAACTATTTTTAACCGTGCAGTTCAGTGCCATTAAGTACATTCACATCGTTGTGCAACGATCTACACCATCCATCTCCAGAACTCTTTTCATCTTCCCAAAGTGAAACTCTGTCCCCATGAAACACTGACATCATCACTCCCACACCCAGCCGCTGGCAACTGCCATTCTATTTTCTGTCTCTGAATTCAACTACTCTAGGGACCTCATATAAGTGGAATCGTGCAGTATTTGTCTTTTTATGGCTGGCTTATTTCACTTAGCATAATATACTCAAGATTCATCCACGTTGTAGCATGTGGCAGAATTTCCTTAAAGACTGAATACTGTTCCACTGTTTGCATGCACCACGTTTTATTTATCCATTCATCCATCAGTGGACACTTGGTTGCTTCCACCTTTTGGCTATTGTCAATCATGCTGGTTATACAAACATCTTCTAGTCCCAGCTTTCAATCTGGGGGGTATATACCTAGAAGTACAACTGCTGGGTCATACAGTAGTTCTGTTTTCAGTATTTTGAGGAACAGCCAGTGTTTTTTCCGGGGCAGTTGCACCAATTTACATTCCCACCAACCAGTTTTTCCATGTCCTCACCAACAACTGTTATTTTCTGATTTTTTTTTTTTAATAGTAGCCATCCTAATGGCTGTGAGTGGTTCTCTCTTTATTTTTTGGAAGTGAGGTGAGTGGCCTTTTTGACAGGAGCATTTATGTATTTCAGGCTCTGGTTGTGCAACCTGGAATGGCTTAACTCTTGAAAAACCTTTCGCAGCTGATAAGAGAGCTATCATTAGCCCATGACTTAGAAAGGTTAAGAACTTGCCACGGTCATAGGTGAACTGCAGAGCCAGAAACGGAACCCATGGTCTTATCTCTTCTTCATTTCACTCAGCACTGTGCCCGCCTTTAGGCACAGAGAAGGCCAGCCCCTGCCACCAAAGGTCACGTAGCTGATGGTGACAGAGCAATCTCAGCATCAAATGCTCAGCGAACAGGAGGGTGAGCGATGCCATAAGCACTGACTCTGGGGACCCAGCTCCGTGCCCGGACACCGACATTTCTGCAGGAAACAACTAAGGTGTCATCACTTATACATCTGCTAGCCACCCTATGAGATAAAGGCTGTGGAGCTTCTTAACCTGAACATCTGGGGATGGCCTTCTGGGGTCCTGAAATCCAAAAATGTGTGCCTGTTGGGTACGTTTTTCAAAGAAGAGCCTGTCTCGTTGCTCTCATTAGATTTCAAAGGAATCTGTGACCCGGGGAAGACTAAATAAATATATTAGTCTTAGGGTGTCCCCAGCTCCATGATCGCTGTAAAAATATTACAACATGAACAGTCCCTGGGGTCTTGGCAAAAATTATCCCATGAAAGTAAGCTCTAAGGAGGAAGGTGGCTCCAGGCTTGGGCTTGGGGACCTGTCAGATTCTGGATCGTCAGTGGAAATCTTGACGCCTCTGTTGTAGTTTCTCTCCTCTCTCCCTGGCTGTGCCTTCTCTATCTGGCCGGCGTCTCCTCTCTTCTCCAACGTCTGCAATTGGTGGGTCTCAGAACTTAGTCCTCAGACCTTGTCCTCTCCATACTCTCCCCCAGGAGAGCTGTCATCTGATATTGGCTGCACCCTGACGACGCCCGGATTTCTATCTGCAGCTCAAATGTCTCTGCAGGCTCATAGCCAAGCAACTACCTTTTCTTTTTTTTTCTTTTTTTTTTTTTTGCCATGCCGTGGATCATGCGAGATCTTAGTTCCCTGACCAGGGATCGAACCCACATCCCCTGAAGTGGAAGCACGGAGTCTTAACCACTGGGCCGCCAGGGAAGCCCTGCAACTACCCTCTTGATAGCTCCACGTGGTCAGCCTCCAGGCACTGGGAACTTCCCCAAGCTTTCCATTTCACGCAGCCCTCCACCTCCAAGCCTGCTCCCTTACCCGCCTTGGCCACCAGTACCACCACCACTACCCACCACCCAACAGGTGTTTGGGCCAAACACCCAGAAGTATCCTTTCTCTTCCTCAGAGAAGGATGGAATCCAGTCTTGCTGGCAAGTTCTCTTGATTCTGGAAGATCTGGAGCCAATCCACTCCATAGCTCTTCCCTGCTTAACACCTTTGAACTTACTCTTTCCTCTCCTGGTGCTTTGTTTCCTTTTTGTTTCCTTTTCATCACTCGGGTCCCAGTTCATATGTTCCCTTCTCAGGGAGTCCATCCCTGACCACGTAACCTAAAGCCACTTCCCTCCCCTGCCCCAGCTCTGGTGACTCTGTCCTATGACCCTGGTTTATTCCCTGTAGCAGGTGTTCCTGGCTAAAATGATTCTGTTCATCTGTTTCTTTGCTTACTGTGAGGACTTGCCACTACAGCTGTGGCTTTCAATGGTTTTTTACACAACCCACAGCAAGATACAAATTTCACATGTGACCCAGTGATCCAGGTGTTATGGCTGCATCACAAATTACCCCCAAGTTTACTGGCTTTAAACAAAAGCTTTAAACAAAGGCATCGATGTTGCTCACAGTTTGGGCCGGGCTTGATGGGAACAGTTCTCTCTCTCCTCCTCTTGGTGTCAGCTGGGACGGCTCAAAGCCTGGGGGCCGGAATCATCTCAATGTTCACTCACTTCTCTGGTGGTTGATGCTGGTTTCAGCTGGGACCTTATCTGGGAGACTCCTCACATGGCTTGGGCTTCCTCACAACATAGCAGCTGGGCTCACAGAGAGTATCCTGGAATTGAGAAAGAGGGAGAGAGCGAGCTAGCACCAGGCAAAAGATGTATTCTAGTTTCTGACTTAGACTTGGAATTCACACGGCGTCCCTCCTGCCACATTCTGTTTGTTGCACAAATCCTGCTCAAGTTCAAGAGAAGAATTGGAGTCTGTCTCTTGATAGGGACTGGCAAAATTGGAACTATTTCTGTAGCCATTTTTTTGGAAAATACAATCTTCCACACCCAGTAGGCAAATGGGGGGAGTTTCCCAAAACAATACTTAGCTTTCTGTACACAATGCACTGATTTTTTTTTTTTCATTGTATTTTGTTGAAAATGCTGGTCATGACCCGCTTATTTTTTCACCTCATTTTTTTTTTTTTTTGCGGTACGCGGGCCTCTCACTGTTGTGGCCTCTCCCGTTGCGGAGCACAGGCTCCGGACGCGCAGGCTCAGCGGCCATGGCTCACGGGCCCAGGCGCTCCGCGGCATGTGGGATCTTCCCGGACCGGGGCACGAACCCGCGTCCCCCGCATCGGCAGGCAGACTCTCAACCACTGCGCCACCAGGGAAGCCCTCTTCACCTCCTTTGAGGGACATGTCACAAAAGTGAACAGTTTGTCTTTCCTCAACCGTAACCCCGCACACAGCATGGTGTTCGGTGAGAATCAAACACCTCACCCACTAGCCTTCTACGTATTTTTTATTTAACACCTATAAAGCACGTACTGAATACCAGGCACTGACCTCATTCAACTCTCACACCAACTCTGAAGTAGACACTATGATGATCCTCATTTAACTGAGGAGGAAAGTGAAGCACAGAAGGATGAAGCAATTTGCTCGGGGTAACACAGCTAGTAAGTGGAAAATCTGAGATTGAAACGCAATAAATCTGGATGCAGACCCCATTTTGCTACGCAGCCTCTTATAGAATTTACTTATTTATGATGTTTATTGTGAGTGTCCCACACACACACCGCTGAACCTCAGCTCCACGAGAAGTAGTTCTTGGCTTCGCCCCTAGAACAGCGCGTTGCTCGCAGCAGGCACTGGACCCGGAAAGAAACAGCTTGAAGATCTTGCAGCCGGTTTCCAGCCTGCGCAGGCGCATCAGGCAGGACTCCGGAGGCACCCCCACGCTCCCTACGCAGACTGGCCATCGCCAATGGTTGACAGAGGAGCCGGCGCAGGCGCACTAGTCCGACTAGAAGCGGCCTCCCTCATTGGCTGATGACTGACGTGGGCTAAACCCAATGGAAACGGGGCTCTCCGGGAAGGGGGCGGGGCCCAGCGGGCAGTTAAATTTGCGCGGGATTGGTCCTAGTGTAGTCATGGCGGCCTTCCGCGACATGGAGGAGGTGAGCCAGGGGCTGCTGAGCCTGCTGGGTGCCAACCGCGCCGAGGCGCAGCAACGGCGGCTGCTGAGGCGCCACGAGCAGGTGGTGGAGCGGCTGCTGGAGACGCAAGACGGTGCCGAACAGCGGCTGCGAGGTGAAGGCCGGGGCGGGGGGCGGCGGGCAGCCGGGCCCGAGTGGTGGTGGTGGTGACCAGGCCGGCCTCAAACCTCCTCCCTTCTGGGCGCCCCATCCGCTACCGTATTTCCCCGTGCGACCGGCGGATGAGCATTGTCCCCTCTGAGCCTCGGTTTCCCCACCCATGAAATGGGCTTCAGGACAGCAGCCACCTCCCAGGGGTTTAGTGGTGAATGTAGGAGGTCTGACGCGCTGTGAGCAGGAGCTGGGACTCAGGGTTTGAATTGGGGCTCAGGTGTCAAAGCGTCGGGTTTGAATCCCAGCACCGCCACTTCCCAGCTGTGAGATTTGAGGTGACTTACTTAACCTTGCAATGCCTCTGTTTCCCATAAAATGGTTGTAATAATAAATAGTCCGCATCTTCCTGCTGAGATTGTTCCCATGTCTTACTGAGCACCTGCTGGGTCCAGGCATAGTGCCAGTCATGGGGTGACAGCCGGGAACAAAGCAAACAAAATCCCTGGGGTGGGGGTAGAGCTAATATTCTAGTGGGGTGAGGCAGAGGATAAACAAGAAAAATGGATTTGTCAGGAGGTGATGGGCTAAGGATTTCAGCTGTTAACTCATGAACCCTCTTGTCCCAGTCCAGTGCTTCCCTCTCAAGCCTCAGTTTCCTAATCTGTGAAATGGGGTTGCTGATAGCACCCCTTGATGGATCAAAGTGAGATTCATGGAGATGATGCTTGCACAGGAGCTGCCCTTGTTGCAGCTTTTCTCAGCATCAGGGTTTTTTTGTTTTTGTCTTTTAAAGGCTTCAAACTTTTTTTTTATTGTGGTAAAATTGACATAACCTAAGATTTACCATTTTACCTATTTTCAAGTGTCCGGTTCAGTGGCATTAAGTACATTCACATTGTTGTGTGACCATCACCACCATCATCTCCAGCATTCCATGGTATGGATACACCACATTTTGTTTATCCATTCATCCGTCACTGGACACTTGGGACACTTCCACCCCTTGGCTATTGTGAATAATGCTGCTATGAGCATGAGTGTACAAATAATCTCTTTGAGTCCCAGCTTTCAATTCTTTTTTGTATTTTCCCAGAAGTGGAAATGCTGGATCAGATGGTAATTTGATATTTAGTTTTTCTGAGGGGCTGTCATCTAGTTTTCCACTGTGGTTTCAGTGCCAGGGATTTGTAATGCCTTTTGACAATTACCCTTTATGAGGGGGTGCCGTTTGGGTTGAGACTTGAATGATCTGGCAGCTAGCCATGGGATGGCTCCGGGAAGAGTGTTCCTGGCAGAGGGGACTGTCAATGCAAAGGTCATGAGGTGAGAATGAGCTGGAGACCCAAGAGAAAGAGGTAGAAGATGAGGTCATCAGGGGCCAGACTTGCCAGCCTGTGAGCCCCCGGGAGGAGTTTGGATGTTAGGCTAAGCACAACAGATGTCCTGATCAGGGTCTTCTGCTCTTTTCTCCTTCCTTCTCTCTCCTTTCTTTCCTCCCCTCCCGCTCCATTAACTCCCCTTTCACTGATGGTTGAGGAGAAGCTCCGCATCACCCAACCTGCCTGGGTTTCAGAAGAACGGAGGGATTTGGGGCAGGGAGACAAGAGTCGGTGTTCTAGGGAGCTGGGGTTTCGATCAAAAGGATCCAGTTCAGATGCCAGCTTCAGAGCTAAGTGTGTGGACAAGCCACTGGACCTTGGGCTTCCGCTCATCGCCTCTCAAATCGGGGGAGGGGTTCAGCCACCCTCAGGGAGTGGTGAGAGTTCAGTGAGTTGGGGCCCCGTGGTCACCTGTGGCACTTAGCACACATTCGGGTAACGACAGCTTATAATGAACGTCCATGGGGAAGAGATCATCCCAGGAGACTCGGTTGTTGTTAGGAGGGTGAGTGGAGAAGGGGCGAGAAGGCTGCAAAAGAGAGCCAGACCCTCAGCTCTCCTAACAGGAAGTCAGCAGGCACCGTCTAACACAGACAGATCAAGAAATAGCAGCATAAGCAAATTATTTAGAAATATGAAGGTCGATGCCAGAGAAAACAGTGAAGAGTTTAACTGGCTGCTTCAGAGGGTTGGAGAGGCTTAGAGAGGGTTATATGTGTGTGTGTGTGTGTGTTTAAATTTTCACAACCATAGACATGTGGTGCTTTGATTAAAAATTAACTTAATATAAGTTTATAAACACTTAAACACTGGCCCTTTAAGAAGCATTTTCATCCGTGCCTTCTCTGAGTTGGCAGGTTTCTCTGACTCTGTGGGAAGGAACACAGTAACCTTCTTAGGGTGTTTTTGATCTTTTTGGATGTTTTGTTCAAAATGTGTTTATTCTGAGTAGGTGTTGGCGATGTACGGTGATTTTAAGATGCAATCTGTGCTTTGAAGAAGAGAGACTTGGGAATAAATAGTCCAGTGTGATAAGGGCTGTCCTGGGAGCACAGTCTCGCCTTAGGAGGGAGAAGAGAGTGTCCAGCCGCCTGAGTCAGGCGTTATCCAGAAGGCCTTAATGCTGGGAATGATGCGCCAGTGGGCAGGGACACAGGGGTACAGGTCCCTGGAAGACCGGCAGGCAGGGGCCCAGGACTGAAAAAACATGGCGTGTCTGCACGATGATGAGGCATCTTTGCAGCCAGAGCAAAGGGAAAAGCACATGGTGGGGCAAAAAGCAGGGAGAGAGGAGGTTGGCAGGGATGCCGAAGGTGCCCAAAAAGACCTGGACGTTATCCTGGAGACTCTGGGGAGCCACGGGAGGTCTTTGATCAGGGGAGCGACTTCACATTTGGCCTCTGACGCAGCTGCTCTGAAGGCAGAGAGCAGAAAGGATTGGCAACGGGAGAGACCAAAGCAGGACACGGCCGGGAGGTTTTTGGGGTGGTCCTGGAGGCATGAAGGACCAGCACGCAGAAGAAGGGGTCCTGCCAGACGGGATGGCTAACTGGATCCAGAAAGTGAGTCCCAGGCTTGTTGCTTGGACAATGGGGTCGAGAGTGACGTCATAAATTAAGACTAGGTGTGCAAACAAGGACCAGGCTTTATTACTTTGGATGGATTCAAGTGTGATTTCGGTGAAATGGAAGCACGTGTGCCAGGGCCAGGTGGGACTCTCAGGCGGGCATTTGCAAATAGAACGATGGGTCAGGGAGCTAGAGATGGAAGTGGGAACGTGGCCATAGATGGGAGCATTGAGGCTGCCCTCTGCTCCGGGGCTCTCCTGGGGAGCCCGAGATGAGGAACGCAGACTTCTCCCTGCCCTGCAGAGGTCCTCACTGCGGAGAAGGAGGTGGCCCAGAGCCTCCTCAACGCGAAGGAGCAGGCACACCAGGGCGGCGCCGAGTTGCAGCAGCTTGAAGCCGAGCTTCAGAGGGCCAGCGAGGAGGACGCCCGTCTGAAGGCCAGCCTCCTATATCCTTTCCTGTGTGTGCAGGACAGCCGGGCCCCAGCCTCACCCAGGATGCCCTTGTTCACTCTAGAGAGCACACCTGGAGCCAGCAGCCCCGGGCCCGACGGGGTTGGTGTGAGCACGTGGGCAGCCCTCCCTCCAAAGCCAGGAGTCCTTAACTGCCTGTGTACTCAGCTCAGCAGAGAGCTGGAGGAGCTCAAGGAGATCGAGACTGATCTTGAAAGACAAGAGAGGGAGGTTGACGAAGACACGACAGTCACCATCCCTTCAGCCGTGTAGGTCCACAGACGCGGTGTGAGTGCGCATGTGTGCGTGCACGCAGCCCACAGCTCTTTGTTGGAGTCGACGCTGGAGTAACTTCTCTCTCTCTCTCTCTCTCTCTCTCTCT